TACAATAAAAAATTGAAGGATATGAAAATTAATCAAATAGAATTAAAAAAAACTTTAAAAATACAAGTGAAGAAACTTTTAACATTTTACAAGAATAAAACTCCTGACCGCCAAACCAAGGTCAACGATTCAATGAAACTAGGCGTCGGGCCAGATTATAAGCCAGGTGCTATTGTGGCTATTGAAGATTCACAGTTCGCAGGTGGAAGAAAACTGGGGCCCAAATGAAAAGGGCTTTTATACTGTTCGAGAGGTATTATACCACATGAAATATATCAACTTCACAAAAAGCGACAGCGAATAACTGTAGCCCCTCAAGATCAGTTGCTATGGTCATCGAAATAATTATAAAAAAGGTGAGTGAAAATCACACAATATTAAATTAAAAAAATTGTCTTTGTTAACTTGAGGTGGCAATTCCACCAAATGTTCCTGTATAATTCATGATAATAAAGTAGCACCAGTGTTTGGTGTTGTAGCACTAGCTTTTAGTGTTAGGGTGGCAATCCCACCAAATTTAATTAAAGATATCATGATATTATAGTATCAGCAGTGTTTGGTGTTGTAGCACTAGTGTTTAGTGTTAGGGTGGCAATCCCACCAAATTTAATTAAAGAAATCATAATATTAAAGTAGCACCAGTGTTTGGTGTTGTAGCACTAGTGTTTAGTATTAGGGTGGCAATCCCACCAAATTTAATTAAATAAATCATGATATTAAAGTAGCACCAGTGTTTGGTGTTGTAGCACTAGTGTTTAGTGTTAGGGTGACAATCCCACCGAATTTAATTAAAGAAATCATCATATTAAAGTAGCACCAGTGTTTGGTGTTGTAGCACTAGTGTTTAGTGTTAGGGTGGCAATCCCACCAAATTTTTCTAAATAAATTATGATAATAAAGTAACACTAGAGTTTAGTGTTGTAGCACTAGTGTTTAGTGTTAGGGAAACAATCCCACCAAATTTAATTAAAACATTAGTGATAATGTTCATAAGTCGTAACAGTAGTTCTGTTTTCGTATTTTGTAATTCCAGATATATGTGGCGCGAGGACACACCAATTGCAGGATGGCCGTGTTAGCGGTGTTCCTCTGCTCCCCACCACACATTCTTGAAGTCCATACACATGCGTGTCAGGATGGACGAGCGGGAGAAGGCAGACCAGCGCAGTGGGCAGTACGCGAATAGATAGTGGCAATACCACAGCAACATTGTAATTGAAAATACTTGATCGTGAAATGAACCACTGATACATCTCTTATGTTTATATATTTATATTTACCCCATATTAAATAATTGGTCGACAAGGTATGAACTAGTTCATAGAAGGGAAAACAATCAATATCGTTAATCGAGCCAAGAATAAGAAATTAACCCACTACCGTTGTATATCGAATCGTCACATCGGAATCGGTTGATTGCAGTTTTTAAATAGAGTTTATTTTTCAAGAAAACGTTGCTATGTTATAACTACTAATTGAACTGGACGAGTGTAATTCACCGATTCGTGAAAAAAATAAAAAAATTGAGTGGATTTGAGTGAAATATTTTTATGAAAACGGAAAATCAAATTAGTCGTTATAAAAGCATCCAGTGTACAACTCGAATGGATAAGTTTTGTTCCGAAAGTAATGGATTCGGAGCACCGTTAGAAACTTACTTTGATTGCCAGAATGACGACACATTATCCAATAAGGAATACCAAGATCCAGACTTCCCACATATCCAATTTTAAGAATCAATAAATTTAGAAGAAATTAATATTGATAAAACTAATGTTTTTGATAATCCTGGACCATCCGGTTACAGAAACCAAAGCTCTTATGATTTAAATCATGTTTTGTTATTGTAAATTTATTTCATTAAAACAGAAATTTCATAATAACTAAATAACATAATAACTGTATTTCTTTGGTGACAAAATACCGTTTTTCATTTCCTTGTTTTATCAATAAACATTCTGTATATAATCAATACAGTGATTATTTTAAAAAGTTACTAGTAGAACTTTCTTATCAAACATAATATTCTTGCGGGTCATCTAATAATATTTAATATAAACTTGCATTTTGTGGATCATTTTTATATTTTTTATTAAATCATTTTTTTTATTGATGAATTTAATCAATGATTCAGTTATCCAACCGTTCGTTTTTTATTTTAATTTCACATTTTTTCAATATTTATAATTTCACACCAATTTATATGTTGTGTATGTTTTAATAATTTTTTGTTATTAATTTGTTTGTAGTGATTTTTATGTTCATTAATATTAGGTTTAACATTGCAATTATTAAACATAATTTGTAATAATATTACATAGTGGTCTGTAATGAAAGTTTCCGCCGTTGATGATATATTATCGAAATTGTTTTTATCTGATTTTATAAAACTGTCGTCTACGCAAGATCCGAAATCTGGTCTAGTAAAAGTATTTATAGGCGATAGGAAACCATATTCAGCAAGTAGGGTTAAATAATTTTGGGTGTTCTTTATATCTTTAGCTATATCACCAATAGAAATACTGTAAACAAATTGTTTAGGGTGATTATCTAATATATCTCTTAAACCTAAATATGTCCACATGTCTATCTGAAGGGGATCTGTAAAATGGGTTTATATAGACAATGTTTTTGTTATATCCTAATTTTACACGTAAAACAAAGGAATCTATACGATAGGTCAAACATTACCAAAAATTGTTAAGGTTAGAGTGACAAAGGAAAAGGAAATGATGTATAATAGTTGACGATATGAAAAAAAAAAAATCTCCCTTTATTCAAAAAATTACGGGTCCGGAGTTTTGTCTAAAATAGTACTGTTCCGTTTTCACCTGTCCACCCTGTATATTGGAACTCAAAGGAAATGCAAAAAAAAACAATATTATTCTAGGAAACATTTATTTCATAAATATATTTTGAATTAAGTATTAATAAATAGCAAAAATACAAAGTAAACTGTCCATTCTTAATCTCAATTATGTAGTATACTTTCACTTTGAATGAATTTTGATTGTAATTTTATCTTTTATTTTTAGTTAAATATATTCGAGATTAAAAACGGACGTTGTTTACTAATCTTTTTAAGGCATTTAAAATTGTACCACAAATATTTCTTACAGTTTCAGCTAGCTTACAAAACTAATTAAGTTATTTATAAAAAACGCATTATCACATTAATAATTATTGTAAAAGTGCAACTATTTTAGCTTAGAGATATGCAAAGCAAAGCTATTTTAATGAATTTCAAATTTTTATGTAACTTTTAATATCGTCAAAAATAAAAATAATAAAAAATAATTTATAAAATGGGATGAACAGACTCCGCCACCGTGAATTATCTATGAGGACACCCGAGGCAACTAGTTTATCTCGAAGTACTAATTTCAACCCTGCAAATGTTTGCACGTTTTTCAACTAAAAAATTTGAGCCTCATCAAATATGGAATATTGCCGAGACAACAGTGCATAAACCACCTAAAATACTGGCACCTAAAAGTTGAAAACGCCACGTTTGCCTAAGAAGCACTTTAGTAACTGCATGTTGTGCTATTAGTGCTGGAGGAAAATTCATCCCTCCATTTTCTGTCTTCTTGCGAGTCAACTTCAAAGACTGTCATGGTCGCCTGATTACCAGGTTATTTTATGTCCATTTTTTTAAAATTTATATTTTAGTATCAAAGTATTCTATATCCGAAGCTCTAGCGACCAAACTATTCCATGTTACTCTGCGCCAATCGCTTCAATACTTACAGAAAGTCTAACTTATACTATGTCCAATCAAAGTTTTTATTGTTCGAACTATATTAGTCTATGTCCTTACCAGCCAATAGGATTTAGCCATTTGCACCATGTGAGGACATGGAATAATTTGGCATAAATATAAATATTTTTGTCAGAACATTTTGAAAAACGTTCATGTGTAGTGTTCGCGTTTACAGTGTGAAAATATGTTAAAAATAATGAGCGATTCGAAAGAATACCTTTCGAAACCTTACCAGGACTCAGGGTCGGAGTATGAACCTACTACAACGAATAATAAACGAAAAATTTAAGTTATTAATTTCTAAAATATTATAGGTTAGAATGAATTTTTATAATTTTTTTAGTATCGATGGAAATGAAGATTCTAGTATAGATACCGATGAGAATTCTTGTGATTCCGATACTTTATTACGTAGCAAACGTTCAGGTCACAAAAAATATCACTTTGATAAGAGGCAAAACGAAATTCCTGGGACATCAAGTGCTAAGAATTTAGACAGTCCAAGCAAAACAGACGGTACATCGGTCGAATTAGACGGTCGGGATGATATGCCAGACGACGATGATGTTCACAGGTATTTTAAAACTATTATTACCTAAATTAATGTATTGATTAATTTTGATTACGTTTTTATTTTTTAGACCAAAATCCACTAGAAAACGAAAAGCTAACCAAAAAGATTGGAAGAAAAATATAAGCAAAAGGTTACGACAAAGTGGAAAAGAATACAAAAGTTGCCGAGGCCAGGCCGTTAGAGCTAGGGCTTTAAGAAGAAACTGTGTAAACTGTCGCTTTAAATGTCTGGACAATTTCAGTGAAAAAGAAGCAGCGCTATTTCATAATGAATTTTGGACAAAAACTGATGACGCGAAAGGACATTTTTACGAGAAAACAACAGAAAGACCGGGTGGAACGCCAGAGAAACAGAAATGTGAGACAGAGAACCAAGAGTTTTTCTCACAAGTATTTTTTCATCAAGAACGAATAGAAAATTTGCGTCTGCAAGAAATTTTACTTGGGAGTCGTAGATATAAGTCAGAGTAGAATTGCTTATTTTTACAGCAAAAAGCGAACGGGAATCACAAGTACTCCCAGACAGTACCAAAGAGGATGCCGCACAGAAAATAGAATTGGTGAGGAGCATAGATAATTAATCAGAGATCACATAAATATGTTCCCTCGTATACCTCACACTACTGTAGAAGTAACTCCTCCAAAGAATACTTAGAATACAAAAATGTATGAGCTTTATGTAAAGTGGTGCGAAGAAAAAAAATTAGCTCCACAGAATAAGTGGCTTTATTACCATATTTTTAACTTTGAATTTAATCTGGGATTCCATGCTCCTAAAAAGGATTTATGCAACGTGTGCACAGAATATAATACAAAAAAAGATGAACAAATATTAAACGAAGATTTAAATGAAAAATACAATGAGCATATAAAAGCTAAGCTAGAAGCTCGCGAAGAAAAAAAGCAGGACATAGAAGCCTGTAAGAATGATCCGTCTACAGCTCTACTATGTTTTGATATGCAAAGTGTTCTATTCCAACATGTCCACAAACACAGGTTTCAATATCTTACTATAAAAAAAGTACGCTGTTTATAATTTGACTGGTAATGACGTTGTTAAAAAGACAGGTTATTGCATTTTGTGACACGAACTGTTGGGTGGAAGAAAAGGTGTCGATATTGCAAGTGCTTTGTACGTTCTCCTTGAAAAACTGTTGTCGGATAGACCTAATGTAACAAAACTGATTTTGTGGTCGGATGCATGCGTGCCCCAGAATAAAAACTCGCACATATCGGCAGCTATATTGTATTTTTTAAGAGAGCATCCTTAAATTGAGTGCATTGTTCAAAAATTTCAAGTCTTAGGTCACAGCTGTGTCCAGGAAGTGGACGCAATGCATAGTACCCTGGACCGAAATTTAAACAAATTAGAACTCTACAGTTCACTAGCTATTAACAAAGCAATAAAAAATGTTCGAGAAAGAAAGCCGTATTAGATAGTCCAGATAAATAAAAATAAATTCGTGGATTTTAAACCAATACTAAAATCTGTAACTTTGACAACAGTGCCGTACAAAAACTCAGTTCAGATTTCTTATAAGCATAATTCCAGCTGTGTTAAATACATTTCTTGGATGAAAATCCCATTGTGGTGTTTTTGAAACGTACCAGACAAAATAACAAAAAAGCGTTTTTTGAAAATTTTCCGAGGCCTACAGTTCAGCCCCCTCCTCCCAATTTGCCAGCAGATAAAATTGAACACATCAGAAGCTTGTCTAATCACTTCTCAGCAGTGGACTTGCAGTTTTGGAGATGCATTATAAACAATTTTTAAGTACCTATTTCAAATTACTAAGTATGTAAATCAAAGTCTGTTTATTTTGCTACAGCTTTTTGGAATTATTGTTTTTTGTTATTAGAAAAAAGGGTTGTGGACATGGAATAATTTATTTTGCTACAAATTTTTCTGTAAAAAGCAATTTATTCTATGTTCGCAACAGATTTTTTTTCTATGATAATTCTAGATAGTCAAAATTTTTAGTATAGTTTTGGGTTTCTCTCTTTTATAACCCCTTAAACTAAACTAAAATACAGTTAAAAAAAAAGCAAAATCATTAAGATGTACACAATAGAAGCTGGTGAATTTTAAAAATGCTCTACTGTAAAATTTTGAAAAATGGACATATAACCTAGTTCTCAGGTGACGATTTGTTAAACGGTGGATTCCCAGGAAGTGCAGAAGTGCGATTTCTTGATCATTAGTTTTTCTATGGATAATAAAATATTGCTTATTATGGATAACCATAAAAGTCACATTTCCATCGAATCGTTGAAGAAAGCAAAGGAAAATGGAATTGTTTTGCTCCCTTTCCTACCCTAGTGCAACCACAAACTGCAAACATTGAATGTGTCAAATTACTTTCCATTTAAACATTTTTATAACTCATGGATGGTTGCAAATTCAGGCAACATTTTGTCCATTTATAATATTGCATTTTTGGCTAGTCGCGCCTTCGAATTAGCCTTCACACCAAAAAATATTTTATCCAGATTTGCATCCACAGGCATTTTTCCTTTTAATGGGGATGTATTTACTGACATTAACTTCCTTGGTTGCTCAATAACCGACCGAGCAGCGGAGCCTACGTGCGATAATATAGATGACAAAGCACTTCATAATAAATTATCAACGTCGAGAAGCCACAAGACAGAGAAAGACAATTTAAAGAGTATAGACAACGTTATTAGTCTCAAAGCTCTGCAATCATTCCTAAAGACAGGTCTGAGAAAGCAGCGAACAAAGCAAAAAAGTGGTTATTCGAGAATTATTACCGACACCCCAGAGAAAAACGAAATTAAAGCTGAACTTGGTGCTTAAAAGGAAAAAAAAAAGAGTTATTGCGTTGAAAGACAGCGGCCTTTTGTCCCAAAAAGTGAGCCGACCTGCTCTTTTAGTTTAGTTTTCTTCTAAAGATGAAACCTTAAGCCTAAATTGTCAGATAAAAGCAGCGAATTTACCTCGGATATTGAAAGTTACGAGAAGGAAATCGAAGCACTAGAGGATGTAAAAACAATTCAAGTTAGAGACTTTGTTTTGGTGAAATTTTCCACAAAAGCTTCAATTGTGCATTATATAGGTTGTTTGATAACAAAACAACAAGATAAGGGTGAAATAAAATATTTATGTCATCTAGGAACCAACTGGAAATTTGTGTATCCTACAGTAGAATATATATCAACGGTCCAGGATATAATTTTAAAACTACCATTCTCAATAACTAGGTGGCACTGAACGGATGAAATCTAATTTGGCTTTTGGTTTAAAATTTAGTTATTATACTAACGTACGTTAAAATCATGCAGTAGTTACTTATATTTTTTTGTTTTCTTATAATAAATATAATTAGTCTTTTTTTAAATATATATTTAAGTATCTCAGGGCTCCCTATTGGTTGTCTCAACTTTCCTTTTCCCAGGGAGCTTTGAGACGATGTGTCCCATTGATCCAAAATGTTTGCAAAAATCAAAAAATATTTTGGAAACATGGTAAAAAAATGGAAAGTGTAACTAAAATGCACCTATTTCGAATCAAATATTTAAAATATTTATATTACACATTCTCATTATTACAGAAAGTAAAATCTAATTTTTGTCTCAAACCTTCCTAGTTTCCCTTAAGTAAGTTCTTAAATTAATGAAATTTGGCAGATAATGCAGCGCAGTCTTTTGTAAGTATTTATAGATAATGCTGTAAAGTTTTTTCAAATCTATAAATTGGTTTTTGAACAATAGGCCCGATTTCTACCAGTAAACACATTTAAAATATATAATGTAGCAGTTCGCCTTCAAAATTAACAGAGTTCCATCATATTATTATAACCAACTTGCTAGTTCCCCAGAATTGTTGCTCCATCTGAAATCAATAAAAATTATTTATTTAATATTTGTTATAGCAAGACTTCTATAGTAATAAAGAGTGGATTATAATAAATGTGTCCTGAAAAGTTAGTAGATAGTTAGTTGTATATATTGTAGCTAGAGTATTTTACATTACAAGTCCGGTAGTTGACTTATTACAGACGAGGCGACGCAGAAGCCGAGTCAGGAATATAAACGAGTACTGTAATAACACCCAACGGACATGTATCGTATATTTTATTTCTTCCTGTCTTTATAATCCTTTTAAAAAGAATAAATAGATAAGAATTATCTAAATATTATTAATAGGTATCAACAGATATACTTAGGTTATGAAGGGAATCCAACCTCTCAAATGTGGCCATCTTCAATGAGAAAATAAAACAACTCCAAATCAATCCCACATATAAATATTTAATTAATCAAGGCGACCGGTTTCGGCTACAATGCCATTTTCAAGCCTATAACAAGTTGAGTGATATTTTAACAAAGTTGGTAATATTAGCTAGACATTATACATACCTAAGATCTTAGCTGGTTTCTAAAGGTGAAATACAATTGTAGATACACTAAATCTACTATATAAAATTTAACTTAACATATGAGGTGCAAGAGGTACAGTTGATATTAAAGAGTAATGTTTAAAATGGGATTAAAGTTACACTAAGTAAGAATTTTTAAAAAAATTTTTTCTATAATTATTTAAATGTATGTGGGAGAGGAATAGAAGAAATTGAAAAATTTTTTTGAAAAATTGAAGAGATGGTAGTCGCCCAGAGTGGGGTGATCCATTCAAATTGTTTTTGAGGCTTCCACAGATTGGGCTTTTGGATGACCGCGGATTGGTATTGCTCTAAAATTTGTTGTGGAGCTAGTAGAGGACAGATAGAATGGCCAATCTGGCTATTCCTATCCTTGAAGTGGAATCTTAAACTGCAATCGTCATTAAGAAGCTCGGGAATTAAAGTGGATTCACCACCAGTAAAAATTATAGTGCCATCCAATTTGGCCTTAAATACAAGCCGCCCAACTAAGGGTAGAAAGATGAGAAATAGTTGGAGAAAATAGGAGTGAACCTGCAGACTCCTTTTTGATTTCCACAAAAGCCACATCTGTGAAAGTGGATAACAAATTCTTAGACGAAACACTGTAAAACAAACTGAATCAATTTCGAAATGAAGGCTGAACAATAATGTCGCACCATACATAAAATGACGGTTACACTAACATGGGCAAAGTGCGCATGTCAGTTTTGAAGTTAAATTATAAATTAACAATGCGAAATGGAATATACAATTAAAAATTAAAGTCAGTCAGATTATGAATCTAACCGTTACAAATACATATAATAAAGAAAATATCTTATTTGATAAATAATTAAAGATATAAGTGATGGGGCAGAGTAAATGAGTATCTAATTACATACCCAGTTGCTTGTTTCCTGATTAAACTTTATCAGTCATAAGAAAAGAAGAAATGACAGATTGACTGAATAATGATAGGTGTATTTATATGTGGGATTGATTTGGAGTTGTTTTATTTTCTCACAGATATACTTAGGTCCAAACAAAATAAAAATTACTAATTTTAGTTAAGGAACATATTTTTATAAATGTAATTAAAAGTCTCTATTATAGTTATAAAACATTCTTAATTTATTTAAGTTAGTTGAAGGGCAAGGAGGCCAGTGAAAAAGTGCTTCTTGCATATTTTGAAGAAAAGTCCAAAATATGGAAATCGTTAACGCTTTGATCGAATTACTCTATGTTAAAGTCGATGATGAACATAAATAATCATGACATAAGCAGATATTACAAGTTTGTGGCTTTTTGAAGCGAAAGGAAGAAGGATATCGACCGAATGGTATGCTAAAAGTGATTTACTTTTAACACCAGTATCATAAAATGGCATTTTAGACACTGACAGCATGTGTTAAAAATTATACTTGTACTGACGTTTGTAGAAAAAATATATTATCAAATTAAAGTGAGAAAATTCCTTAATTACAGTTTTATTATAGCATGCGTGATAATAAATAAACAGTTTTGATTAAATAAGAATAATAATAATTCATTTCTATATATTTTTAACTTATTTCACGTTATACTTAATAAATAGAATGTGTTCTCTTACTGAGATACTCATGTTTTATTTATTATTAATGTAAACATTAATAATTCATTCTTTTATCTAAGCTGGAAATAAAATAAAATAACGAAATTAATTTTAAACTTACCCACTGCCACAGAGCGAAGAGGGATCACTCCTATAATAAGATTGATATCCACAATTAAATCATCATATAATGGAGGATATACACCACAAACCTGCAAAATATAAATAAAAAAAATGTATTAATTAACAATACTTTCCAATAAAACAATTTAAATACACCGATGCATAAAATTAATTGCTGACAAATTGTATATTGAGTGCTGCATTACTAATTTTGTAGATTGGTAAGTTCCGAATCAGAGTCGTCTGTGAGTATCTTGTATTTGTTACTCGTAGTGGTTAGGGTGTGTTTTTTCTCGTATCAGTTTTTGGAAATTCGAACTAAATTTTCTCGGAATTTCGAATGGTAGCTCATGGAAGTTAGACTGTTTTGTGTTTTCTTCCGTGTCCATCTCTTGGGGTTGATTATTTAAGCATAAGTTTTAAGTGCTGTTAAGCGATGCAGGTAACAGCCATGTTTCCAGTGAATCTGTGCCTGTGGCACCTATATCCTCTTCTGAAGTATACTCTCCTGTGTTGAAGTTGTGGATGGTATCCTGAACAGTTTTTGGTATATCTGTGGCCGTGGCATGGGTATTGTCTTTGTTAGTATTAAAAATTACTGTTGAGGATTTTACTTCTGGGATAAAGATTCACCGAGATTCGAGCTACTCAGTTCACCCGTCCTTCGGCTAGTCTTCATTCCTGCAATTTTATCGATTTTGATGTTCTCCAAACTTTTTATTCTTGGTCTAAATGTTTTCGGTATGGTTCCAGTGATACTATTAATGAGTCGGGCTGTGTGCAATTCATGGCCCAGGGCCAAAATCCAGCGCCTAGCCCTTGTACCTGCTGGCATTTCAACCCTTTTATGGTCACTTTGGTGGGGTGTTTCGATTCGGCCACGTAAGCAGACTGAAAAATCTGATTCTGTACCGTAGGGGTGCTAGTGTTGATCAGAGTATGTTGTTGTACCGCCTGGTTAGGTATTCACCCCCTCTAAGGGCATAGAATTATTGACGTTCGAGTTCGTGATGGCGTTATCATCTGCATCCAAGTTGTGGTCGGATTTGTCATCACTTGCACTTCTGCTAAGGATGGGGGAATTCGTATTGGAGTTTTCTGAGATTCTCCGAGCTTTTTTGCGGATTCTCCAAACTTTCTTTAGGGATATTGTCTGGATTTATGGACAAATTGTTGGGATCTGGCTTAACGTGATTGGGAGGGGTATTTCCTGGTGCATTGTCATCATTTTGTGGGTTTATATCAGTGTTTTTAATGGTCGTGTCCATACTTTCCTCGGAGCTGGAGGATTCGTTTAGGTCCCCGTAAACTTCCTCTAAGAGTGTTTGAGGGTCATTTAGAGGTTGTTACGGGGAATTTTTAACCCCTGTACTAGGCAGCTGATCTCTGGGTTAATGTTAATGATGGTTAGACCCAATAAAGTGGCCTTACTCACAGTGAAATTAGTTTGTCTATTGGTTTTGGCCTTAAGATGCTCTGGAGTTTGTATGATAGATATATTTTTAAGTTCTTCAGTGTACCTCCATCGGTTTCGTTGGCGTTTAGAGTAGATTGTCGGGTACTCGACGAGATTGGGATTGATTGCCCCTGAAGAGGGCTCTACCATGGATCGGGTGCTCCTTATTGACGATTATACTTTACTACCTGGCTGACTCGAATGTAAATTAAATGATTGAAAAGTGTTAAGAATATAGGTTAATAACCTGGTGTCGCGAATCCGAACTAAGAGGAGCGGTACAAAATTATACCCACCTTCCTTTGACAAGTTCAAAGGGGAAATGTCCAAAGACGTCTTTAAGATGTCTTAAAAACGTCTTTCAGTCGGACGGAAACGTGCACACAGTTTACATAATTCAAATTTAACAAGAAGAATTGGCAGAAGATCAGCCAATTAGAGAAGAAATGTAAATTTTTTCGTATATTTCTGAATCTGTAGATGTACAAATGTATATATTGTGTAAATAAAGAATTTTAAAAGTAAAGTAACAAGAAGAATCAAATGAAGTGAAGTTTGACGTTTGACTTAAGACTACATTCAAGTTCAAGCCAAAAATGTCTATGGCCCAAGATTATTGTGGATTATTGATTATTTTATTGCGTACGCGATTATAGCCGCCAAAAGTGTCTTTGTGCTATTTTGTGCATTTTCGTTTGTATTTAGTCTATTTTAACTTAAATCAGAGAAAAAAAGGTTTCTGTAACCGATGTAGCACGTTCCTGGAATACTTTCTACAGGTAATAAATGAATATTTATTTATATACATGGAACATTAATATCCTTTTTCTTCTAAGAATAATTAAAAAGTAAACATCTTAATATAAGATTGAATGTAGATATTCGTCAATTATCATTTTGTTTTGTTTTTATGGAGATTTCGAGAACTATTAATATCTAAAGCTCCCTATTAGATAGCCATTTTGAGTGCAGTTAAAGTAAAATTGTCAAATTAGGCGATTAAGCATAATAGCTCATTTTGCCTTAAATGATTTGTTATAAAAATTGATTTAAAATTCTAAGAAATTCATTTTTTTGTTTTATAGATAATTGTTCTTTCGGTTTTTACTAACTTTTGCAAATTATAACTTTCTGTGACTAGAATGCTCTTTAGGAGCGACTATACAAAGGCAACTGCAATTCAAAAAGAGAAAAATCAATCCAGTTATGGCTAAAGAGGAGTGATCGAATGAGCTACAAAGAAAATAACTCTTAGTGACTTGTGATTAATAAATATTTTATCAATAAATATTTTTATTTCTATTTTTAGCATTCTTTATAACCTGCAAGGTTATTCTACTAATTTTAATAACCAAAATATTCAACGTCCTTTGTATACGATGATACCCATTTTTATTATTATTTTATATTATTATATTATATTATATTATATTATATTATATTATATTATATTATATTATATTATATTATATTATATTATATTATATTATATTATATTATATTATATTATATTATATTATATTATATTATATTATATTATATATTATATTATATTATATTATATTATATTATATTTATATTATATTATATTATATTATATTATATTATATTATTATATTATATTATATTATATTATATTATATTATATTATATTATATTATATTATATATTATATTATATTATATTATATTATATTATATTATATTATATTATATTATATTATATTATATTATATTATATTATATTATATTATATTATATTATATTATATTATATTATATTATATTATATTATATTATATTATATTATATTATATTATATTATATTATATTATATTATATTATATTATATTATATTATATTATATTATATTATATTATATTATATTATATTATATTATATTATATTATATTATATTATATTATATTATATTATATTATATTATATTATATTATATTATATTATATTATATTATATTATATTATATATTATATTATATTATATTATATTATATTATATTATATTATATTATATTATATTATATTATATTATATTATATTATATTATATATATTATATTATATTATATTATATTATATATATATTATATTATATTATATTATATATTATATTATATTATATTATATTATATTATATTATATTATATTATATTATATTATATTATATTATATTATATTATATTATATTATATTATATTATATTATATTATATTATATTATATTATATTATATTATATTATATTATATTATATTATATTATATTATATTATATTATATTATATTATATTATATTATATTATATTATATTATATTATATTATATTATATTATATTATATTATATTATATTATATTATATTATATTATATTATATTATATATATTATATTATATTATATTATATTATATTATATTATATTATATTATATTATATTATATTATATTATATTATATTATATTATATTATATTATATTATATTATATTATATTATATTATATTATATTATATTATATTATATTATATTATATTATATTATATTATATTATATTATATTATATTATATTATATTATATTATATTATATTATATTATATTATATTATATTATATTATATTATATTATATTATATTATATTATATTATATTATATTATATTATATTATATTATATTATATTATATTATATTATATTATATTATATTATATTATATTATATTATATTATATTATATTATATTATATTATATTATATTATATTATATTATATTATATTATATTATATTATATTATATTATATTATATTATATTATATTATATTATATTATATTATATTATATTATATTATATTATATTATATTATATATTATATTATATTATATTATATTATATTATATTATATTATATTATATTATATTATATTATATTATATTATATTATATTATATTATATTATATTATATTATATTATATTATATTATATTATATTATATTATATTATATTATATTATATTATATTATATTATATTATATTATATTATATTATATTATATTATATTATATTATATTATATTATATTATATTATATTATATTATATTATATTATATTATATTATATTATATTATATTATATTATATTATATTATATTATATTATATTATATTATATTATATTATATTATATTATATTATATTATATTATATTATATTATATTATATTATATTATATTATATTATATTATATTATATTATATTATATTATATTATATTATATTATATTATATTATATTATATTATATTATATTATATTATATTATATTATATTATATTATATTATATTATATTATATTATATTATATTATATTATATTATATTATATTATATTATATTATATTATATTATATTATATTATATTATATTATATTATATTATATTATATTATATTATATTATATTATATTATATTATATTATATTATATTATATTATATTATATTATATTATATTATATTATATTATATTATATTATATTATATTATATTATATTATATTATATTATATATTATATTATATTATATTATATTATATTATATTATATTATATTATATTATATTATATTATATTATATTATATTATATTATATTATATTATATTATATTATATTATATTATATTATATTATATTATATTATATTATATTATATTATATTATATTATATTATATTATATTATATTATATTATATTATATTATATTATATTATATTATATTATATTATATTATATTATATTATATTATATTATATTATATTATATTATATTATATTATATTATATTATATTATATTATATTATATTATATTATATTATATTATATTATATTATATTATATTATATTATATTATATTATATTATATATATTTATGGCTTATTTAAAGCTTCACAAGACCATTATAAGCCATTAATAAGACGTCCTAGACATGTTCTAAGACGTCTTAACGACGTCTTTCAGGAAATACCAGACGTCTTATGCTAGACGTCTTTAAGACGACTTTGTGCTATCTGGGTACATGACACACGACTTACGACGTTAATTGATATTCTGATCTTTGCACGCTTGTAGCTCGGTTATCATGGCAAATTGGATATTTGTTCATAAAACATTTTATGCTTAAAATGAGTTGAAAAATATGACATTAAAGTTTGTACAGTACGTCATGCAACATCCTGTCTAAATAAAATAATTATTATTTCTGTAAAACCCTTGTTAACATAAACTAAACATAAAAGTTCTCATTTCGAAACTGGTTCTGTAAATGATTTATTTACACTGAGTAGATACAAGTGAGACAAAAACATAAACATTGAATGTATTAGATAAAGAGAAAACTTCGCCCAGTGAAACCCACTTTTCGTCATCTGATTTACATAAAGATGATCAATCTATACAACTACATATATCATTGGGTTCTTTTTTTTAATCACAACAGCTGAAAATCCTTTTTATCATAAATATCGATTTAATAGTAAAAAAAAATATTAAAAAACTTACTCTTAATCTATAAACCTCTTCAATTATTGTACACCTAAAAAAATTGCTCGGAAGAATGGCTTGCGGAATTCTAAAATCAATGGAGTAAGTATTTTCGGAATTAGAACCTACTCCGTTGTAAGTTTGATTGGATAAAGGCACTCTTTGTCGTCTAGAACTTCCTCTGTCACTTTTGAAAGTTGTTACCTAAAATTAAACCATCGACTACAGAAATAATAACTAATATATTTTCTCTTATTGGGCTTGGGTTGTTATCACTCAAAGACAAAATTACAAAAAATACACGTCTGCAATTTTACAGATCTGCAAATATGACATACTTACAGATGCAAGATACATATGTATCAATTTGCATATTTTAAAAAGCATCTACAAATCCGTCATATTTAATGTGAACAATGGGATTTGTGCCATCGATGTTCTTCCTTTCAATGACTATCCACCGTCAGGTGTCTGTAGGAGACCATATTGATATCTATTTCCAGCAAATCGTTGAAAGAGGTTAGATCCAGCATGGTTTCCATGGCTACCGTCGGTGTGGTTGTGATTGCCCTAGTCTTGGCAACGCACGAAAGCCTCTAGATTCCAGCCAGATTTGCTGTCTGTCCATTGAAGTCCCTTGGTGACCGAGCTGCACGTAAACATGGCTTTTATCATGGTTTGGTAAATCTAATAGATTCGTAGGGAACTAATCCCCATTCTTTGCCACATATCCTTCTGAGGGCCTAGAGGCATAATATCTGGCTTTGTTGATGATTTTTCACATTGGGGTTCCAAGTGAGTTTCTTATCTGGGTTAATACACAGATATTTCACCTTCTACGCATATGGTATAGTTTTCCCCGACCAAGGTAAGTTGTTGAAGCTTGTCGAATTAACAGACATCTGCTTTCTCTCGCACAATCTATTGATCGTATTTAGGGTTTGTTAAAGAATCTTGAAGATCACCTCTTTGCTTCCCCTTAATTATGATCATCAGATCATCTGCATAGCATTGGAAATCTACCCCTGCCGAGAAAGATGGTCTAGTAGGTTATCCACCAGAATTGTTCACAGTAGGGGTAGGAATTCTCTGGCAGGCCTGGAAGTAACTCTCTCTCCCTGCAGTGATAAAAAGATATTCCGATTTCCAAGCATACTTTTAATGCAGTTACAGGTCAGTTTGTCAACTACTTTATAAAAAATAGTTTTCTTTTCCTTTTATCTCTTACTTGTGGGTTAAAATATGTTTATTATATTATTATTTAATAGTTTTTGAGTAAAACGTTTGTAACAGATGGACAGACAAACACCGAGTATTCAAACTAGTAAAAAAAACTTTACTAACCCTTGTTAAAGTAACATCAAGGCGCTCAATATTGTAACTGGTAAAATTTTTAACCTCTACAAACATTTTTAACAATTCCCCTGGAAGATATGCATTTCTTTCTTCTAAAGTGACCTTCATTGTTGCATTTCCAGTATCGAAACATAAGCAACTGATTGTTTCTTGCCATTCATAGGTAATGTTTCCCTAAAATATTTTGTTTGTCTTTATTTTGTATTTAAATGTTCTTTATTAATAAATTAGTTAATAATAAAGTTAAAGTTATACCTATTACGAAATATACGAGATAGTGTTGAGTACTAACCAATAATACTCCATGTTGAAGATTTAAATCAACAGGGTGTGTAAATTCCATTCGAATCTTTTCCTCATAGTCAAAATCAAATGGTATATCGACAGTAGCTGTTAGAGAATATCTTATAGATCCGGAATCTCTTTCAACAGAATTTGGTAAATCTGGAGGTAAATAAAATTCAAAAGGGAATTCGTATGTACCAGGTTCAATAGAATCTAAAAAAAGATAGTTTAAAAAATTTGAACCAAAAGTATGGAGTGACCAACAAAAAATATTCTTTTTAAGTGTTACTTTACATTTAATTCAGAGCAGTGCGTAGTTATCACGAACTTGACTCGCATCTCTGTAATTTTCGGTCATGGCCTACTTTGGAAACATTTTTTGTAGATCATTCTTTAATTTCTGGTATAAATTTTGTTTCAAACCATTTAATATTTCTTCGGTAAATGTATATATCTACAGTGTGTAATACCTCCATAATTTTAACAGATAATTAAGGAGCAAACAGAATTATACATGGTAAATCTTTAGTTTTTAATGGTGTATAGAAATCGTTAATATAAACAACTTTTATAAATGACTTTATTTCAAAAACTCAAATATAAAAAGGCAGAATTAAAAAATCTAAATCCGAGTCTGGAGTTGTGTGTTAAAATTTAGCTAAATAATAAGTCTGTTTTTTTTTTCGCTTTTTTTATGAATCACTCTGGCATTATCTACCGTATTGTAATTCAGTCGTCAATTCAATGATCTGTTTATCTAAAGTACGTGTGAATTTAATTTGCTCAGTATGGTAAATTATAACAACAATGAACTTTGTGGATATGTGTTGCTTATTTATGATGAATTGTCTTCAGAGTGCATCGGTATTGTACAGTAAACGCTTTCCCTTGAAAAGTGTGGACAACGTTGCGAGAAAATTAATTATATCCCTTGTTTAACGTGTTCAAGCACTACAACTTTGAAGATTTCCCCCGCAGAATTCAGTTTTATGATTGGTTCTTACGGTATAAATGTGATAGCTAGAGACAGGATCGTATTGGTTACATTTTTAAATAAATTATTGTAAAATCCGTATTTTTGATTTTTTTTTGAAAAATTTATTAGAAAAAGTTGTTTATTTTAATTATTTCTATACATAATGAAAGTAACAGTCAATATCTCGCAACGGAGGAATTGTGATTTCTAACTTTTTAACTGTGTTAATAACTTTTTTACTTTATGATCGTGGACAAAAAAATTAAAATATAAAAAAGATTTATTAAATTAGAATATGTAGCAATTAAATTATAAATAATAAATAGTTTAGTAATTTAACTTTATTTTAAAATCGCTACAAAAATATCTTCCTAATATACTATGCTAAAATAGCACAATAAAAAAATCTATACCAATAAAACATTTATTTTCTTTTATAAGTAAAAACCCGAGAATCACGTCTATTCAAAAAATGTCAGCCTACCTGTAAACTATTACACATAAATTGACGTTAATTGGAAGATTATTGCTATTGGCCCATTGAGGTATTTCTACCTAATATAGAATTTGTTTAACATATTAACATTTAACCCCGGATGGACTGAAAAAAGGAAATACTTTATTTTTATTTTCAACTTTTAGAGAAAATGTTATTCTTCATAATAGTTTTTGCTTGTTTCAAAAATAATAATAGTTTAAAAAACAATTTGAATATATCTTTGCTTTAGTGAAATAAAAACAAAAATAATTATGTTTTTAACTTTTTTGTTATTTCACTAAAACACTTCTATTGTGATGACGGTTCAGAATACTACAAAATAAATAGCGGAAATCTAACACATTGCCTATCTGTAGGGGTTAGCCGGGTACCTAGAGCTACAACGAATTATTTTCTTTTCTGTTTCTGCTCGCAATTTATTGTAAAGAATAAATAAAAAAAATACAAAATGACTTTTTATTTACCTTTATCGTATAAAACAAGTTTTGTTAATAGAAATTCATTAAGTCCAGTAACAGTATTTTTTCCTTGTTTAAATCTTGTTCTTTCTCTTCCTTTCAAGACACATCTAATTTCTAAAATAAAAATAACTTTTATTAAAAAGTAATATGTTCAATTTTCTTATCATTACTCGTATGTCTGACTTCCAAAGATTCCAAACTATATACTATACTTGAGAGCAATAAAATCGACTCCTAGCTGCACTCACATTTCTGTTTTCTGTTTTAGTCTAAGGAACATGAACATAAAAAAATGGGGTATAATTAGTAGGGTTGGTGGCAACACCAAATATTAAAAAAATCAATAAAATAAATTAAACGGAGATGGAAACGGAAATGCGAGTGCAGCTAGTGAGTCAATTTATTTGCTCTCGAGTATTACTAGGATATTAGAAGGAGTAATAACTAAGTCTAGCAAACAATAATAGTTATTTACGATATAAGTGGGATAAGAGCTTTATTATCGTATGCATGTGAAATTTGCACGAGTACGTAGCACGAGTTGGGCAATCGCAGAAGTACGATCACACGTATAATGTACAAATTTTTATCTACGCCTTTAAATGTAAAAATAAACGATTATAATTTAATTTAGGGTTATTGTTCTCCACCACTCGGCTGTCCCAAAACAAAACACAGTAACTCACATTATGGTCGAAATTTATTTTATTAGGTTTTTGTAATTGCTGTGTTTTGCTGAATATTTTAGTATTTTAAAATCTAAAATCGGTTAATAAATAAGAAAAATACAGTTCATTGAGAACACAGTAACTGCTCGCTAAAACAGATTTTACCACTACAAAACACAGTAATTACCAAAATCTATATCAAAACATAGTAACTGCTTGGCAATTACTGTTTTGTTATGGTTTTTGTTGTTACTGTGTTTTGTTAGTATCAAATTCGGTTTAAATTCACCTTTAATTTTGATCCCCACCATTATACTATCCAAGTTAAAACTGTAAGTGTATTCCGTCTTGTATTGAGTCAGTTTTCTGCAAATAAGTGAAGTAAACAGTTTGTTCTCAGCGAGAGGATGTCCTCATCCGGCGATGCATTAGCTGCATCATGTAATGCGCGAACACGACGTATGGTGAATACTGCTCGTTCTTGCTCTGAGAAGGTAACTTTCATTTTAGTTTAAAATTTATGCTTTTTAAGAATAATGACCAATTGCCACAAGAAATTTACTACTTAGATAGGTTAAAGACATTTGCCTCAACCGAATTTTCACTTGAAAGTCATAAATTAATGTGCGACATTCTTGAAAGCCCCGTCGATAATAGTGACCTGGACAAAGATTATAGTCCTACATCTAGCGATAGCGAAAACGATGATAACATTGTAGAACAAAAAAGGAAAAAAGAAAGGTGAAAACATTTTTTTTTCATTTAAATAAATCTGTGTTATTCCTAGATAAACCATATTCAGCCAGAAATCACCAATGAAGAAAAAAACGGGGAAAACAAAACGGAAGCCCCTGAAATCTCAAAAATTGACAAAGTAGTTTCAGTGGTGTGAAATTTGTTCATAATTTCTATTTAGAAATTAAATAAGTTTCTTTTAGATTGACGAGAGGAGTCAAAACATTCATACAGATAGTGAAGAAAGAGATGGGAAAAATGACACTGAAGCTAGTAATATATCCAATGAAGTGTCTGAACGTGATGTACCCGTTTTAGAAGTAAAATATTTGTTTAACGTTCTAATTGAAAAACTAAGTGTGGTATATTTTTGTAGAATAATACTGTACAGTCAGAAAGCCCAAATGAAGAAAAGGAGAGGCAAAATACTGGAGCATTAAAAAGAACTGGAAAAGACTAGTAGGAATGAAAAAAAACCAATAGAGATATAACCAAACATCTTGCAAGGGCCATTTGTGAAGGAAAATGTAGAAGGCAGTGTAAAAATCTAACAGAAGCTCATCGTCACTCTATTTGGATTCAGTACTGGAATATGGACTACACAAGTTGGCGCAAATGGTTAAGCAAACATTTAAAATGAATCCTTGTGAAACGTAAAAGATGGGAGTCAAGGTATTTTACTCTACCACTTCCAGATTTTACTGAAATAGCTGTATGCAGACTAACATTTTTAAATACTTTGGGATATACTAATGATTCGGTGGTAACCGAATTAGTTGCAGCAATTAAAAAAGGCCCTTTTGGAGGTCAGGTAAAGGAGCACAGAGGAGGAAGTCATGGACCAGAAGTTAACCAATAAACATTGAATCGTTTAATCCTTGCGTGGACCATTATAGAAGAAAAAATGCGCCAAATGTAAGATATTTACCTAGGGAACTCACAATTAAAGTTATCTATGATGATTTTGTTTTAAAACATCCAAATATATGTAAAATTGAAGTTTATAGGAAAGTTCTAAAAGAGATGAATATTTATCAACCTAAATCAGATATTTGTGAAGAGTGTTCATCTTTAAAAAACATTCTGGAAAACGCAGGTGATGACATCATTTAAAATCAATTCGATTCTCATCGTACTAAAGCTGCGAAGGCAAACGTGGAATATAAAAAAGACTCGGACGAAACACCAGCTGCAAGTGCAACAAATAAACGAATTTACTCTATGGATCTACAAAAAGTGATTATTTTACCTATAATGCTTCAAAGCAAGACCGCCCTTTTTACAAGTAGACTTGTAGTTTTTAATCAAACGTTTGCCACTAAGTAAAGAATCCTCTAATGAAAGTTATTGTGTGCTATGGCACGAAGCCTTAGGTGAACGTAAAGTGAAGGCTCTTGTTTATGCTATGTTCAAAGTAATTGAGAAGGAAAGGGATACTACCGATTTTGTATTTTGGGCAGATAATTGCACCGCCCAAAACAAATACTGGCCTTTGTACACCCCACTTGTTACTAAAGTAAATTGTGAAAGTGGTCCAAATCAAATTGTCATTCGCTATCTCACCAAGGGCCACACTTATATGAGTGCGAATGGCATTCACGGTAATATCGAGCAGAAACTCTTAAGAAAAAGAAACATATATGACTTTTAGGAGCTCCTAGAGGCTGTCGAATTATCCAGAAAAAATCTGGAAGTTCTAGAATTAACAGAGTTCCACTTGTGGCCAAACAAAAAAATACATTAAAAAAGAAAAGGAAATGGAATTATGCATGAACGATGCCATTGAAATGCACAGGATTTATCTTTACGTTAAAGCTTACGAAAACTATAAGAACTACGGAAACGGAAAAAGAATTTGAACATGATGAACAAGC